CAGTCTATGCCTCCCAGCTGGCACAGCTGGAATCAACTCACTGAGACAGAACTGATGGGAGCTGGCCGACCAGTTCAAGTGGTCAGCCGACCACTTGCCCTGGTCGGCCGACCAGGGTCAAAAGGTTCAAGTGGTCGGCAGCCTCCCAAGGTGGTCTCCACATGAAATGCAAGCAAGTGGTATGGTGGAAGACCAGCAATTGTGGCCAAAAAACGAGGGAGACTAGTTACCTGACAAGAAAATCGGCCGACGGGAGAAAAGTGGTCTCCAAGGAGAAAAGGTGGTCTCCCACCCTTGTACCACCTTCCAAATAATGAAAACAAGGTCCATGCCAAAAATGATCCAAGACGGATGCAAAACGAGGGTTTGGGGGCCAAAACGCGCAGCCGGGTGCCCCGAAAACTGACTGTTAAGCATCGAAAGTGGCGTGCGACCCCGAAGGTGGTCTCCCGGGTCACAGTGTCCCTCTAGAGAGAGGAAACAAGGTGTGTACCAAAAATTGGAGCAAACGGAGAAAGTTAAGCGGTCCCGAACCGAGGCGCACGGCCGACGGCTCCGAAAATCGAAAACTAGTCTCCAAACGGGAAAAGTAGCCTACGACCACGAAAAGTAGCCTATGGCCACTGAGAGATGATCTACGAGACCTCTCCCTCTCTTCGGGAAGAGAAAACAAGACCTGGTTCGCAAACCGAGGCAAAACACAAAAGGGTCCCGAGGTCCAGGAGTAAGGCTCTCAGCCGAAACTCCGAAACCTTAGAACGAGCACAGCATGCACCATCACCGAGCGCTCAATCGATGACGTCTGAGTCTTAAGGTCGGTCAAAAATGGGGTGTCTACACGCCACTACCATTCTGTATGACGCGGGTGCAATATTAGGCTCTTTTGGATAATCAAGCCGCTATTCAGCAATCTATGGTTGATCTCTGGGCAGACTATCATGCATATTGGGATCACTCGCAGATGGCCTTTGATGGGTATCAGTAGTTAGTTGCATCTCTACAAACTGACTTCTACTCATACCAAGAGTCGAGCCAACAACAGTTTGATCAACTTGGTGCTAGGGTTCATGATGAAGCATTCGAGACTCAGAAATTGATGCATGCCCTATTTGAGCAACATTTCCCACCACCGCCGGATCCAAATCAATGATATCTGTAAATTTTCTTTACTTATTTTTGTTTTGTTTTATTTTATTTTTCTTTTCCTTTTATACTGTACAGTTCAAAAAAAAAAAACAAACAAACAAACAAAGTGTATGTGTGTGTGTGTGTGTGTGTTTGGTGCGTCCTTGCCTCCCTGGATGTGCGTCTACACTATCTGGTAAGATCCTCTCTCTCTCATTTTACTATCTGTTGTACAATTGCTTACATTGAGGACAATGTTATATTCCAATTGGGGGGTAAGTTTTTTTATAAAAACAATTCATGTTTGTTCTTACTGCGTTTAATGTTCACTTTGTGCCAGTGTGGTAGTAATATGAGCATACATTAATTGGGGAACATAGTGGGCTTGTATGAAAAGGATTTATTGGGTAGGTACTCGCATCTGATGTTTGCACTAGGAGAGTTGTTTGTGTTTGTAGTATTAGTACACTTATTATGAGTATGCCTTGATTCATATGAACACACTTTCATAGCAATGACCTCTCTATTCTAATCCCTGGTGTACATCATTAATAATTGCTAGGGTTGCAGAAAAGAATAAATGAGTAACCAAGATTCTTAAAATAAAAAATAAAAAATAAATAAAAACACATGCTTGACTTATTTCGATTCATAGCCTTTTAAACTCGAGTTATTAAGTCCGTAGGGGTGTCTCTACTCCTAGTACCCTAAAACCATCTAGTTTGGGAATCATTGGCCCAAGACTTCCTACATAGGTTAATTAGAAAGTTTAAGGGACCTAGACATTGCACAGTTAAGAAAAAATAAGGAGAATGACTTGTTCGGATTCATAGCCTTTTTAGCCTAAGTTATTAAGCCCGTAGGGGTGTCTTTACACCTAGTGCCCTAAAACCGTCTGGTTTGAGAGTCATTGGCCCAATACTTGTTAAATGGGTTAATTAGAAAGCTTAATGGATCAGAACATTGCACAGTCTTTAAAAAAATAAATAAATAAATAAAATTGAGAATCTTGGTTGCAACAGTTTAGTTTTTCTGTATGTGTTAGGTGTTATTATGAGTTACACTGGGCTATTATAGTAAACAGTTAATTAGTATGGAGATTGCACTTTACATCGAGGGTACTGATGATATGTCTACTAACATTCACAAGTACAGGAGACTTTACTTTTGTATTACTTGAATTGTGGTTTTGGCTCAATAGATTCCTTCATACTTGTCTACTGTGCCTTCAATGAATTATCATGTCTTAATATCACACTGTAATGGCACATAAGTTGATTGTTAGGTGGAGTAGTGTGGTTAATTATTATTGAGCAGATATAAATATGTTGATGTTTGTGGGTATCATTTCTAAAAACCCTCACGAGACTATACTTATCCACTTGGGGTAACCTTGTGGTTTAAAAGCTTGTTGCATATGCTAAATGCAATCATGATCCCTATGAAAGTGGCTTAGAGTAATTTTTCTTTTCTTATTTCTTTTGTTTTGCTTGAGGACTAGCAAAATGTAAGTTGTGGGATGTGATGTAGGCCGAAAGGTACCACATTGAGGCCACTTAAGCTACATTTTTAGTCTTTCAATATTGTTTATTTGGTGGAGATGATGCGTTTTGTGCAGGTGTACCGATTTGGCAGATAACACACAAATTCAATCAAAAAGGGTGCGAAAGAAGATTCTCCGTGCAAGGAATGAAAAATCCCGACTTGCCACCTCACCTCACGTACGGCTGATCACCGCTTGAGCGGCCCACATGGGCGTTCGAGCGACCCACCTAAGGTTGCGTGCGTGAAATTTTCATTCTATTCTGTTGGTAATAAAAGGAAGAAAAAGGGGTTGTAAAAGGGTTCGAAAATTATTTGAAGAAAAAGGGAGGCTATGGTTTGAAAAGAGTGATTCTCCTCAAGCTTGAAGGACAACTTCCATGGGGGCTTCTTCCTCATCCTCTTCCTCTTCTCACTCCTCCATGAGTGGCTAGTCTTCCAATTTTAGGGTTTTGATGAAACCCTAGCCATGTAAAGAGATTTTTCTTAAAGCTTTGATGGTGAAACGGTTTGAAAAAATGTATGGACACTTTAGAAGTTTATAATATTTTTCTTTTTTCATCTCTTCAAGTGTTTTACTCTCTGTGATTGTTTAATACTTTCCATACGTTAATTTTCTTTGTGTTTGTGTTCAAAGTACGAGATGAGTCATGCTACGAAAGACGGGTCGTGTTGCTGCCATAGTTTAGAGCAAACGTTTCATGCTACTCAGGATGATTCGTGCTTGTACGTTGAATGCTACAACCCTCTTGATCAATAATTTACTTGTAGTTGTGAAATATTGGGTAGTTCAAACCGGATTGCAATTGATGGCTATTATTAAGTCTTATTTATATGGTTAGTGGTGAATTCTTTGCCCTAAGATTTTCCCAAAAATCAGTATCTCTAACCCTAATTTTAATTGTCAATTTAATTTCTCAATTTCATTAATTCTCGTTTGGTCATAATATCCATCAATCTTTTTAATCAAAATTAATTTAGGAATTTTAAAATTCAATTAGTTTAATTTCACAATTGTCCATGTGGATCGATACTTGGACTTGCCATTATTCTAAAAGAATTTGGTATCATTTAGTGTTTATATTTGGTGTGTGTATCACATCACTATTCTAATATAAACATATAAGATATATGGGAAAATTAAAACACATCGCTTTTGGTTATACGTAACTAGGAGAAGACCATGGAAGGTCATGGCCTCCTATTTCTATGAAAAATATTATTTATCATAGCACTTTAAATATATATATATATATATATATCATTTTTTACATAAAATGGTTCCTCAGTATAAAAAATATATATTTTATTCTTCTCCCAACTTGTATTATCTTTCTATTTTGCACCAAGAAAACTTATTCATCTATTAGAGATTGCTTTTATGATATTTAATTTTTTTTTCTATATATATATATAATTTGTATATCATATTCTATATACGTGTGTTTGTGTATATGGTGGAAAAAAAATTATTTATCCTTTGGCCTCTCCGATAATAAAATCTTGGTTACATCTCTGATTATGACTTGTTGTGATATTAATTGTGACTTATTTTGATTATTATTTTAATTATGATTGAAAAGGTCGGTGATTATTCTCTATGTAATCTTTAGTTATAACTAATAATTATTATTTTTAGTTATGACATTCATATTTGCATATGATATACACCCTTTAAGGATATGGATTCTAAAATAACACACATATATTATTATACATACACATACATAAATGCATACATATATACATAAACAATTTATAATACCTGAAATAAAAGAGATTGAGCAGGAGATGGTATTGTGAGTGAGGGTTGGCAATAAAAGCTGATGATGAATCATTGTGACAATAATGGAAAAACCTTCTACATAGGCGTTAAATTTCTCCTTTTTTCCTAAAATGAACCCTAAGTCTAAAAATATAATTTTGGGCTAAACAGAAAAATGTGGTCACAGGCATTTGTTTCTTTTTATTTTTTTTATTTTTTTTTAGCTCTTCCTAAATTCACCTAAATCTAAATATTGCTCTACAGCAAAGCAAGACGCCAACTTGCATGTGCTTTTAAAAAAAAATTAATAAGCTAAACGATGTCATTCCACTGTCACCGCATGTTGTAACAGCACCTACCCCGTACCCATAGGAGTGTAAAAGTGTGACGCAGGCCCAGAACCAAGCAGACCGGGCCCGTTTTTACACTAGAGGAAAGGCCTGTCCAATTGTGTAATTTATTCTTTCCAACAGAGGATGCATTGAAATTTGAACAGATATGTTCCACGTCAATCTCAATACGGAAGTATGTACGTCTTCATTTAAACATTCAAGAATTGATATGTTGATTTTTTTTAAAGGTATAGGTGACATTTTCAGATATACAATCTGAAAAGAAAATTGCATATTGAAATTCAAAATATAAAACTAAATCAATCCATTTAAGTCTCGACAAAAAAAAGCAAGCAATTTAGCAAAACGATAAATCAAATAGTTACGGTACAGGTCCGTTCAGTTCATATATGAATCTACCATCCCCATCAGCTCCTCCTAGTGCATCATGGAAGATGGGAAAAGGAAAGGCTGTGTTTACGATGCAGGAGCAGCAGCAGCAGCTTTCTGTTTCTTTGGCACCCGGTAAGCACCAACCACGCAAGCATGGTCCCGTTCAAAGGGTTCAAGGGTGACCTGCTCAACTGGCTTGAACTGATCTGCCTGTAGCTTCTTCACTTCCTGGGCAAACACTGCCTCGGCTGGAACAGTAGAATCTATGCAGTTGGCCTATAAAGTCAAAGGAAATTATATAAATCACAGGTAAAACAACAAAATCATACAAGCTTCATCTTCAATTTTTTCTTTTTCTAAATATTTGATTTGCGGAAAAAAAGTTATCCTAAATCCATAGAAAAACTTTACAGAAGTATCTAAAAGCCAAACCTTGATTGATATGACAAAATAGCCTCCAGCCTTCAGGAAATATGATCCATTCAAGGCTAAGATCCTTGCCTGCAAAGGAAATAATAAAATCAAACAAAACTCATAATACACTCAACAATGATGGAGGGGTACTATCCCAAGGAAATATATATAATTGGAGTACTGCAATAGAAAACTATTGCTTCCATTACAGCAATTAGCCAAATCTCTGAATCAGAACTCTCAGCACGGGTAAATTTCATATGGCACCCAAACATGAAGGGGCATGGGTGAACAAATCAGCGAAAGAATGCTATTGGCTGCAGAAATAAGCCATGCATACAGGGCAACCAAGTTAAAGCACAATAGTACCAAAAAAAATCCATGGCCTACAGATTCAGAAATTTGCCATAAGATGAGTATAAAGTAGCAACAAGTGCAAGAAAGTTGTAAAAAGTTTAGTAACAAAAATAAGGATTTCGTTAATGTGCCATGTCAACAAAACCCAATAAATAAATAACTACAAAATGGGATTGGGGATATCCATCTGACCATCATTCATCATACCAAAACCCAGACTTGAAGAGCCACCAAACATGTCACAGCTAGATGAGGCCTAGGTGGCATCACCCAAATCGGATACTTTATGCTACTGTGTGTTAGGACAATGCAAGATCAACGATTCTTGGTTTCTGTAACTTATCATAAACAAAATGGACACAAAAGCAGACAACTACCTTTAAGTATCCATTGGATAGCACAGATCAAATTTCCAGTTCACTACCATCGTAATTGAACTCACTCAATACATAAGCTCCCTTCAAGTGGAACCATCTCAACTTAAAAGTAAGTTATATAAGAAAGATCTTTTTTCTTTTTTTTTTTTGATCGGCAAATGTTCGTGGTTAATTGTTAGACTAGCACCTATGGAAGAAAATCTCCTCACCCTTGGGAAAGCACATAAGTGGTTGCGCACTCCCTTAATTCAATCCCCCTAAAGGGAATTGAACCCATGACCTCCTTGGGACTAAGGCCTCGTTTGGGATGCTACCTTTTTAGCCAATTAGTCAAAAAGTTACTAAATTAGCCAATTAACCAATTAGTCATACCAAAAAGTCAACAATTACGGCTTCTCTCTACTTTTTGCACAGCTTTTCGTAATTAGTCAAAAAGTCATCCCAAACATATAAGTTTTTTTTACCTACCTTTTTAGCCAATTAGCCAAAAAATTACTAAATTAGCCTGTTCCCAAACGAGACCAAATTAGCCAATTAGCCAATTAGTCATACCAAAAAGTCAACAATTATGGCTCCTCTCTACTTTTTGTACATCATCCCAAACATACAAGTTTTTTTTACCTACCTTTTTAGCCAATTAGCCAAAAAATTACTAAATTAGCCTGTTCCCAAACGAGGCCTAAACCCTAAGAAAGGCACGGTGGCCAACAAAGATCTGTTAAGAATCATTTGAAAGAAAATAAAAAAAATTGCACAAACTGGTAAATTAACTAAAAACAAATAATGAAGCTACTAATGCCATATATATTCAAACAGCTTATAAGTGCATCAGAAAATCGGTTTTGCATCACCCATGACGTCTCAAAGCACATAAGTGATTGCACTCCCTTAATTCAATCCCCCTAAGGAGAATTGAACCAATGACCTCCTTGGAACTAAACCCTAAGAAAGGCGCGGTGGCCAACAAAGATCTGTTAAGAATCATTTGAAAGAAAATAAAAAAAATTGCACAAACTGGTAAATTAACTAAAAACAAATAATGAAGCTACTAATGCCATATATATTCAAACAGCTTACAAGTGCATCAGAAACTCGGTTTTGCATCACCCATGACGTCTTGAAGGGGAATCCGAGTAATTCATCATATGCTAGCTGATAGCACAAAATTCTACCACACAAAACATAATAAAGGGAGATCTTTCAAACTTCCAAAATTGTGGTCTCAAGTATCAAGAAGTATATCACCAAGATCCCAAAGAAGAATGAAATACCAAAGAAAAAGAAAAACAATCAAATCATTAAGGAAAAAAGGGGGACCAAAATAAGAAACCAAAAAAGTTGGAATTGTGAGAATACTGCATACATTGATAGTACCTAGAAAGATGCACACTAATTGACCATTAAATTGAAGTATCAGAAACTCGGTTTTACATCACCCATGACGTCTTGAAGGGGAATCCGAGTAATTCATCATGTACTAGCTGATAACACAGAATTCTTCTATACAAACATGTTAAAAGGAAAGAAAAATAAAATAGAATGGGACCTTTCAAACTTCTGAAATTGTGGTTCTAGTATATGGTTCTAGTATCAAGAAGTATCACTAAGATCCCAACAAAGGTAAAATGCAAGGAAAAAGGGGGAAAATCAAATCCTGAAGGGGGAAAATGTATCAAAATAAAAACAAAAGTTGAAAATGTGAGAATACTAAATACACTGAAAATTACTTGAAGACTCGTACAAATTGACCATTAAATTTAAAATAACAGCTACATGATAAAGAAAATTGCATGTTATATGTTGCAACCTCAAATCATTGGAAATAACTTCAATTGTTGCAATTACTACTGTTACAGCACCAGCAGCAGCAACTCATCTAAGTTTACTAAGCAACCATGCAACTGTTCAACCTATCATTAAACCATTCAGGGGTGATAATTCAATGCAAGAAATAGAAAGCAACCTGATCAGGCTGAGCCACATCTGAAAATATTACATCAACCATGCCAACAAGCATCCTGTACTTGGCCGGATGTCTAGCATCTTCAATGATAGGTATAACATTTGTTCGCTTCTTTGCCATGTTGACCAAATCCCTACCACTTCTATGAGAAAATTCCACTGCATAGACCACTCCATTCTACAAGAGAGGGATAGATGATGATGCATCAAATAAATATCAGTGCCAAGTATGTAATAGACAGAATATTTTCGAGTTGACATGACTACTTACAGGGCCAACAATGTCGGACACATGAGAGACAGTAGTTCCTGAAGCAGCTCCAAGATACAGGACCCGGGCACCAGGTTTCTTGATCACATAAATAACCACAACAGAGAATAGCTTTAATAAATAAATAACATAAACTCAAATAAACTACCTAGCAAAAATAGAAAAACAAAGCACAAGACAAAACTTACAATCCAGATGTTGTCAACCCCACCAAGAATGGCAGCTGCCAACTTAGACCGGAAAGGATTCCATACCCTGTATTCAACTTTGGTCCCATCTTCATTCTGAAAGGAAAAGAAAAATGACTAAGCACATCAACAAACAAGTAATGAACAACAAGCATGATTACTCAATAGTCAGTTAACAAAGTGTCACCTTGGTCAATCAAGAAACAAACACAGCAAGTAACCAAAAGAATAATACACACTATAAGCTACTTAACAACACAAATTCAGAACCACTGAGAGTTCAGAACCTCAAAGAAGCAAATTTTCAAGGTTGAAAACTCCTAACACCTCAACGGGAATACATGTGAGTGTGTAAATAACTTAACAAGACTATAACTCAAGCTGAATGTAAAGTCCAATGTAAATCAATAGCTATGAAATTACAAAACCCCAACTTTCAGTACAAAAGTACATCAGACCCCCACAATGTAAAAAAGTTTGACCTCAAATCTTCATCATAAGATGTTAGTTATGGCTTAAATGTGAATTATAAGCACAAGAATTTAAAGTATCGCCTCAAACAGTAACTAAATTGCACACTTGTGACACAAACCAGTGACCCCGTTGATCATTTGTGTTTAATAACTAGTGCTTCACACACAGCAGTTTCAAAAACGCTAAACAAACTATACCATTATTTTTCCAACTTCACAAAAACAATATAAAAATCAAATCTTTCACCAAATCATCAAAACAAGACCAAAAATAAAAACATGTATTTCAACATTTACCTGAACAGAGATCCTCTTCTCGTTGTAGACGGCTTCACCAGGGACCATATTCTTGGTGCAAAGCGCATCTTCTTTACCCTTAGCAATGAACACTCCTTCATGTCTATGCGGCTCAACCACGACCTTACTCCCTCCCTTCATTCCTCCTCTACCACCGCCTCGGCCTCTGCCGCCCCTTCCTCCGCCGTCGCGGCCACCGCGGCCTCTCATCCCACTGCCTCTATCGCCTCCTCTTCCTCCGCCGCCAAAACCTCCCCTTCCTCCGCCGAAACCTCCTCTCCCTCTGCCTCCATCACCTCGGCCCCTTGATCCACCACGTCCTGCAAAAAAACCCAATTTTTAACACAGATTAAACCTCTAGATGAAAAAGAAGAATTTTTCTCCCGAGAAACAATTGAAATAATTTCTGAGGAAACAAACAGAGGATAAAAATTACCTCTTGGAGGTCTCATCTCTACAAAGTGTGTGAGACTAGAGAGAGCTAGAATTGCGGAGCTTTAGGGTTTGAGAAAGAGGCGACAGAGGCTGAGAGGGTTTTTATAGGGCTAGAATTAGGGTTTAGGGTTTTGTTCGTAAGAGAGTGAAGCAACCGCTTCTTTAATTTGTTGAAGTTGTTAAGGTGACGGCGCTGTTTGTAAAGTTCTAGAACAGACCAATCAAATGAAGACAGCTTGGTGTCGAAATATAACATTTTTAAAAGAGCAAATTACACCTGCTTTTTGTTTGGAAAGCCAAGTTCGCATTTTAATTTTTTGATTTTTTTAGTTATTTTAGTCTTGATTAAAAAAATTTATTTGAATTGATTTTTTTTTTTAACTTTTGTAAAAAGAAATAAATAATAATTATGATTTTTTATCTTATTAATTTTTTAATTTTTTTTTTTATCTTTCTTGTGATTAATTAACCAAAAAGGAAATTAACCCACATCCCAAATGACACTCCGATGATTTATAACGGGTTGTCTGGCATGACCTAAATAAGTGTACTTTTTATCTTTTTACGAAAAGATGTGCAGAAAAGTAGAGAGATGATGTGATAAAAAAAGATAAAAAGATAAAAAAAAAAAATGAATTATTTTGCAATTGTCAAACTTGGCCTTAATTTGCTAAAAGTATGCTTAACGAGCATGTTCAGCTGTGTTGGACATAGTCATCGGACTAAGTTTGACTAGGTGTCATCGTTATCTCTATGGGTAGGAGTGTGCATATTGCGGTTCAGGTAGTTTTAGAGTAAAATTACAAATCGAATGGTAGGTTAGTGGATTAGCGAATTGACAAGTTGCGGTTTGGACGGTTTTTGGCGGATTGGCAGATTGAAAAATATTCTAACTAATTATCATGCATTTGTATAATATATAATACAAATTTGTATAATATTTTCTATATATATAACACAAAGTAATTTTACGTAATATGTTTCATATATATAACCACTAATATGTAATAAATTTCATATCTTAAATCTCTCTCATACTCATTTTTACATTGATATTTCATTGGAAGTTAAAAAATATATATGTATTAACTATAGTGGAGTGGAGCGATTTGGTTGGCGGATTATAAATTTTAAAATTTAAATCGTGGTTAGCAATTAGAGTAGTATGGATTGATGCGAATCGGTCCGATTTTAGCGGATTGAACAGTATTTTACACTGCCCTATCTACGGGTGAAATAAATAATAATTATGATTTTTTATCTTATTAATTTTTTAACTTTTTTTTTTTAATCTTTCTTGTGATTAATTAACCAAAAAGCCAATTAACCCACATCCCAAATGACACTCCGATGATTTATAACGGGTTGTCTGGCATGACCTAAATAAGTGTACTTTTTGTCTTTTTACAAAAAGATGTACAGAAAAGTAGAGAGATGATGTGATAAAAAAAAGATTAAAAAAATGAATTATTTTGTAATTGTCAAACTTGGCCTTAATTTGCTAAAAGTATGCTTAACGAGCGTGTTCAGCTGTGTTGGACATAGTCATCGAACTAAGTTTGACTAGGTGTCATCGTTATCTCTATGGGTAGGGGTGTGCATATTGCGGTTCAGGCAGTTTTAGAGTAAAATTACAAACCGAATGGCAGGTTAGTGGATTAGCGAATTGACAAGTTGCGGTTTGAACGATTTTTGACAGATTGACAGATTGAAAAATATTCTAACTAATTATCATGCATTTGTATAATATATAATACTAATTTGTATAATATTTTCTATATATATAACACAAAGTAATTTTACGTAATATGTTTCATATATATAACCACTAATATGTAATAAATTTCATATCTTAAATCTCTCTCATACTCATTTTTACATTGATATTTCATTGGAAGTTAAAAAATATATATGTATTAACTATAGTGGAGTGGAGCGATTTGGTTGGCGGATTATAAATTTTAAAATTTAAATCGTGGTTAGCAATTAGAGTAGTATGGATTGATGCGAATCGGTCCGATTTTAGCGGATTGAACAGTATTTTACACTGCCCTATCTACGGGTGTACTCAGTGCAATTTGGACATTTTGAGAGTAAAATTATGAACTAAATCATAAATAGCGGATTGACAAATAATCTGTTAGCCCTAAGGTTATTCAACTTTAGATTTCTATTGATTTTGATTATTGACAAATATTTTAAATTTAGTTTGTTATTCAAAATTTTCAAAATAATAGTATAAAAATTATGCTTCATGTTTCTAAAAGTTATATGGCTCTAGAATGTTGTTTTTCAATAGTTTTTAGCCCCTCAAAACATGAGATTAGCATTTGGTCGCAAAACTCTATCCATGCTTAAAACAGGTCTAACAGTCAACACCAAGATAGCAAGGGTCGACACCAGAGTGAAGCTCAAAATGTCTAAGTGTTCCAGCTGCAAGGGTCGACACCAAGACAGCAAGGGTTAGCACTAAATTTCATAATGCAATCCAGCAGCAAAAGTCGATACCAAGACAGCAAGAGTCGACACTAAATTTCAGAATACAATCTAGTAGCAAAGGTTGACACCAAGAACCACAAGAGTCGACACTAAATTTCATAATGCAATTCAGCAGCAAGGGTCGACGCCAAGAATGATAAGGGTCGACACCAAGAACATATGAGACTCAACGCAGAAAAATGAGAAAAGAAAAGGGTCGACACCCAAGTTGCAGGGGTCAACACCGGTAAAATCTGGGTATCTAGCTGCCATATCAGATATGGACTGACACAACACTTTTTGCAGCCACTTTTTCAAATTTATGTATATAATATGTCATCATTTCTAACCTCTGAGCAAACTTTCTAGCACCATATATTCTTCTAAGAAGTTGACTTATGAAGATGAGCATTAAATAAAAGCTCATGCATTTAATGAGCCTTCTTTTCCCAAGACTTGCATATAGTTTGTATCTCACCATACTCTAATCAAACACAGCTGGAGGATATCCTCCATGATCTTCTTCTACGGCTAAGAGATTCAAATATTCTCTCTCTCTAACAACTAGAAGCCATCAATATTATAAATATGGAGGTCTCCTTGTTCATTCAATACAACATACCCAAAGCATTCAAGAGTAATCAAGAGCATTTAATATACTTCATTTATACTTCAACTTTCATATCTGAGTGAGTTACCTATGAGCTTGCACTTTTATATCCATCTTTTGAGAGAGAATATTTTTAAAGAGGATGGTTGTACCTCTTGTTATTATTCCTTATTTTCTGAGTGAAACACTTGTAAAGTGAAACATTTAGTTAAGAAGTTCTCAACAGATTGAAGTAAGTCATTTGTAAAAATTCACAAGCTAGGAGAGGCTTGGTGGTGCATTGATTCTTAGTGAAGAAATTCTCAAGGAGATCTCTTAAGCAATGGATGTAGACTAGTGAGCCGGACCACTATAAATCTTTGTGTCAATCTCTTCTTTCCTTTCCTTTATTTTCTGTGTACTTATTATTATCTGCTGCATTTAATCTCTTAGTCTTTGAAATATATTTTCTAGCAATTTTTTTTATTATCCAATTCAACCCCCTCTTGGGTTTTTTTCCTATATAACATAATCAAATCATAGTTTGAGACAGTTTCAATTTGTTAGTTAATTGGAAAAAAAAAATACTTATCAAATATTTGCATAATATATAACACTAATTTACATAATATTTTTCATATATGTAATTACTAATTTGTAATAAATTTCACATTTTAAATCTATCTTACACTCATTTTTACTTTGATAATATATTAAAGATTAAATATATATATATATATATATATATTAACTATAACAAGACTGTTTAAAAAATAGATTATAAATTTCAAAATTTAATCTACAATTAGCAAATAGATCGATACAGAATTGTAGACACCCCATTTTTGACCGACCTTAAGACTCAGACGTTACCGATTGAGCATTTGGTGATGTTGCATATTGTGCTCGTTCTGAGGTTGCGGAGTCTCGGCTGCGAGCCTTGCCTCCAGACTTCGGGGCTCTTTTGTGCTTTACCTCGGTTTGCGAACCAAGTTCTGTTTTCTTTGTTTTCTCTCCCCGAAGGGAGAGAGAGGTCTCGTAGATCATCTCTTAGTGGCCGTAGGCTACGTTTCGTGGTCGTAGGCCATTTTTCCCGTTTGAAGCCCGGTTTCCGATTTTTCGAAACCGTCAGCCGTGTGCCTCAGTTCGGGACCGCTTAACTACCTCCGTTTGCTCTGGTTTTTGGCATACACCTTATTTCCTCCCTTTTGAGGGACACTGTGGTCTGAAAGACCAACTTCGTGGTCGAACGCCACTTCCGGTGCCTAACAGCCTATTTTTGGGGCCCCGAACTGCGTGTTTCAGCCCCCGAACCTCCGTTTCGTATCCGTCTTGGTTCATTTTTGGTGGAGACCTTATTTCATTGTTAGAAAGGTTGTAGGAGAGTGGGAGGCCAACAATTTTTCTGAAAAGCCAGCTTTTTTTGGTCAAAAGTGATTCAGCATGAATCCGGGAAGGAGGAAAACATCTGCGCGGTTTCACCGAAACGGGCATAACTCTTTGCACAGGAGGAATTAAGATATGAGGCCACCACCGTTGGAAAGCTTACTTCCAGGGCTTCATTTTTCACTCAAGAATCTCCTAAGGACAAGTTCGGGTGGGGGAGATATGGTTGGTTGAAGTCCGTTTGGACCGAATCTGCGATACTTCACGAAAACTGGCATAACTTTTTACACAGGAGGAATTTTGATGCAAGGTTTACGGCATTGGGAAGCTAACTTCTGGGGCTTCATCCTAGGGGGTGGCCGGCCACTTTGACCCTTTTGACCTGGTCGGCCGGCCACCTTGCCTGGCCGGCCGACCACCTGAACCTTTTGAACCTGGCTGGCCATTTTTGTCCTCCTGAGTGTGTTCCAGCTGTGCCAGCTATTCTGCACTTGACCCACTATCCGAGGGTCTCCTCTTTTGGGGGGAAATTTGAATTGATTTTCCCCCCCCATTCTCCACCCCTTCTCCTCTATATAACCAGTACCCCTCCTCCATGATTAAGGGTTAGAAAAAATCAGCCAAGGCTTTCCCCCCCCTTCTCCTTCAATTTTCACTATTCTAAGCTCCAAAACCCTAAGAGTCTTGCACCATTTGCACTACAAC